TTGATTTAACAGATGAGAGGAGACAAGATGGGTTTTCTTACCCCTTCATCAATTTAATACATTCTGTGTTATATGGGATCTATAACAAACAATGAATTTACTAACACAGAGTGGTGATTTTCAGAATATTGTGATTGTATTAATTAATTTCTTCATTGAATAAATTTCTCATAAGTAATGAGAAATTGAAGAAACAAGAATATGTCATAACAAGTGGCATGCTTGGAGAGAAGTTTGTAATTCATGCTGAACTATTAGATTTAATATCCATAGAATGAGGCAACTGTAGTGCATAACATAGCAGTTTTTGTCAGCTCATAACCACAGTTACAATGAAGGTTAAAATGCAGGTTTGGTGCCATTCCATCACATGCAGCATGCTCAATTTTCACATGAAGACAAAGGTGCATGTTAGCAATGTTATGGTATAGTTAAGGTCCATTTACTCATATTTTTAAACTCACAATATATTCATGTTATATTTGTTACTCTGTTATGTTTAGTACCTGTGCTCAGTTCGCCATATTGGAGAAGAAATATGTATAACTCAATTATTAAGTGTTTTTTATCAGTACTGTTGATTCAGAAATGCACATAAATAGAATATTGAAGACATTAATAATAAGGGTGGAAGCTGTGAGGTAGAGAGAAAGGGTCAGGGAACTAAAGTTTCTTGCAGTCACCTAGCGCACACGGCGAGGAATAGGCAATAATTAAGATAATGGTTTCACTAGAATAGTGGAAGTACCTAATTGTTAGTTGCAATTGTTAGTTAGTTGATGATAAATTAACACATTCTTATGCTTCTTCAGAATGGGGAAAGATTAAACGTGGAGTGCCCCAGGGATCTATACTTGGACCAATGCTTTTTCTTTTGTACATAAATGACCTACCTAAAGTACAAGTTAATTATAACTCTAAGCCAGTCATGTTTGCTGATGATACCAGCATTATTGTTATTAATCCTAATTTAGTAAATTTTAAGAAGGATGTTATTTCCTCTTTCAGACAGTTGGATGAATGGTTTAATATCAATTTGTTGTCATTAAATTATAACAAAATTCAGTATATACAATTTAGAACCACTAATAGCCAAACAGTTCAATTAGACATCAGTTGTATTATATTGTATTTATTAGTCCACCATAGATGCATAAGAAATTACAATTTCAGTGGATGTAGTTACCGTCAATAAATATATACAGTCAGCCTTGCAAAATTGTACTTGTCCAAAAAATATATGAGATCAGCTGAGCAATAGGGCACATTGTCTAACAAAAATTTCACAACTATGCAAAGTAACATGTTACAATTAATGCAGGAAAAAGTCAAACATAAAAGGCAAAAGATCATATATACATAATATTTCATATAGACCAAAAAGATTACAAAATAGTTAAAAATTAATATCATAAAACTCCTCCAAATTATAAAAACAATGAGAAACCAGATATTTTTTTAAGGTTCTCTTAAATTTTTTTAGGTGACCCAATCAACTCTCTAAGTAAAGAAGGTAATTTATTGAAAATTTTAATACCCATAAAATATATGCCCTTTTGATATATAGTTAATCTCGAAAGAGGAAAATGAAGATTTTCACCTTGTCTAGTCTTCACATTATGGCTATCATAATTTGTAATAAAAAGTTTTTTGTTCTTTACAACAAATAATAAAATACAAAAACTATATTGTGATTTCAGTGGCAATATTTCCAGTTTTTTTAAAAAGAGCCCTGCTTGAAGTCCTATTTCCATGGCCTGTCATTATACATACAACTCTTTTTTGCAGCTTAAAGAGTTTATCGCTGCTTGACGAAAAACCCCAAAATAAAATACCATAAGCTAAAACAGAATTAAATAAAGTATAATAGATCATTGTTAATGAAGTAGAGGACATATAGGGTTTAACTGCTCTAATCATGTAACACACTCTGGTCAATCCCTTCGTAAGCTTATCTGTGTGCAAATTCCAAGTCAATGTATCATCTATTATTAAACCTAGAAATTTAATATGGGAAACTTCAGTTATGACATTATTATTATAGGTCAATATAGTATCAGTTGATACAGTGTTTTTTGTTTTAAACTGCATACAATAGGTTTTTAAAAAATTAATAGATAACAAATTTGATTTAAACCATTTGTGCACTATTTGAAAATTCATGTTTAATTTAGCATTTATATTATCCATGTTGTTTTCACTGTGAAAACAACACAGCAAGCCATGAACAAACCCTGGACGACATCAAGAACCTCCTCATAAAGATAGACAGGCGGCACAAAATCTGCCCCATACAAGAAGGACGATAGGAGTACGGACACGAACCTCCGTGGATTAAAAAATTTTAACTATTGATGATAAAGGTTTTTTAAATGACATCTAGAAACTTTTAAAAACTGTGTGATTGTGAAACGTTCGACTTTATGCTTACTGTGCATTATAGGATATAAGTGTATGTATTTTAAATCAAAACATCTATTGTGATGGTAGTTTCCAATTTGTAATGATGTTCCCTCTGAAGATGGCCCGTAAGGACCGAAACATGTAAGGGAGATAAGTTTGAACATAGTAAAAACTTACATGTCACATTGGACGGTGTGGTTTGTATTTATAATTGTTAGTGTGACGGACCAGAATGAAACAAATCAAATGTATTTTAGTTGCTTGTCTGTGACTCATTCTATATCCATCAGGCTTATTTGTAGCCTAGACTGGATCGATGGAATTTTACAATAAACTAAACTAAACTAAACTAGAAGTTCATCTCAGCACTGAACCTGCAGTTTACCTACATTGTGCATGGAGTGTAAATTTAAGAGTACATAGACTGCATTTCTGTTGTTCTGGTTGGGAATGGAAATGTTTTGGAAATAGAATGATAACCTTGCATGATTCATTTCTAATAGTTGCTGCATGTAGTGTATATATAAATTTGTAGTTTTGTATTGTTATGATTGTGAAATATATATTTCAATTAGTGTAAATATTGTTTAGAAGGTGGAGTTTAAAATGTGATTGCTGATCATAAAGGTTTATTGTCATTTTCAGATTGTAGCTTAATTATTATTATTATTATCAGAGAAGTGAAAGAATAACCTCTTTCTGTCTTTTTTCTCCTCCTCCTCCTCCTCTTTGGCCTCTTTCAATTCATAATTAACTTCTGAAACTATTAATTGTATGGACAGTGTATAAGTATCCATGGACACAGAACAGACAGTTGCAAGGCCTCTGCACACACTGACAACACAAACACAGAATAATGGGGCGGAATCCATACCATGAGTGGGATTAAACAAGGGATCCATAGTGTTCGAGCTACCATAGACATTACTTGCACTTGACTGCAGAGCCTCTGTGATCAACCTAAAAGAATGACAAAAAGTGAATTTTCCTACACACTTAATTACGCTTTCTTTATATGATTTAGAGAATGTTACTCTGGCAGTTAGTGAAACATCAATCATTGTGGTTAATCCCTAAGGCAATTACTGATTGAAGGCATATGTTATGAAATAATCTAGCTGCAGTCAGAGATATTTATACGAAGCCTTTCTATCTTTTTTCCCACATAAGTTTCCATAACTCCATTCTGATGTGTTCTTCAATAAGAACTCTGAATTTTAATATGCAGTTTTAATTGTTTTGATTTAATGAAAATTGTGTGAGCCTTGACATCTCACAACCCTATGGACCTCCAGAGCCTGTTAAACAAATAGCTTTAGCTTTAATTTCATGATATATATGTGTGTTGCATGCATTGTGTTTGGGAAAGGGAGAAATGCATACAAAATTTTGGTCAGGTACCCTCAAAAGGGAGATACTTGAAGAAAGAAGCATTCATGGGAGGATAATATGAAAATTGATCTCAGAGAAACAGGGTGTGAGAATGAGAACTGAATTCAACTGGCTCATGGAAGGTTCCAATGGTGAACTTCTGTTATGATTTTGATGAAAGTTTGAGTGTCGTAAAAACAGGGAATTCATTGATTATCTAAGTACTTATCAATCTTTCATGGATTACTCTGTACCACTGAAAATTTTTCATTTTTAAATGTTTGTTCAAAAAAGGTGTCACGTTGCACTAACACAAGATATAGTAGGAGACCTTTTTATCCATTGCTGCAATACTTTCATTCTAGGCAGATGGCCCTGTTTATATATAGGAAGAAGTCCTAGAAAGAATTGGCAACATTACTTAAAAACTCCCATTTACATCAGGGTGCTATTATGAATTACAAGCTAATAGATAAACAACATAATTATCTAATCCTGAAATAATCTCCACTAATTTAGATTTCCACTCTCTGAAACTTGTTGGAGATGGTCTTAACATTACACATGAGTGCTGTATTTTTAATGTCTCAAGTATGCTCACAGAGAAGAAAGGTATTTCAGTTAAAATTTGTAGATCTTTTCATGAACTGTTCCACAAACACTTTAACATGTCTAGTTTTATTTGTTTATTAGTTGTCAGTATCAAACAGAAAAGTAAATATAGATTTTGTTGTTACTTTATATTCTGCAGAGAAAGACTGAAAAAGAAATATTGCTACACCAAATTAAGGGCATTGCATTAAAGGACACTACAATTGTTGTCACCTCAGGCAATCACAGCACCACCATATCATTATAATTTCTTAGAGGGCACTGAAATGTGGAGTAGCCTCTAATGGCATGATATTCACGCCAAGCTTAGTGAATTTCATTCATTGCTTCAAATGTTATTAGGGTTAAGTAGACCCTTTGACATAGGTATAAACAAATGTAATTATACCATAATATGATACTTATAAAATAAAGAATGATGATTAATGTAGTAAGATTTCTTTATCAAACTCACTTGATTACTTGACCCTTGAAGTTTGGCAGATTCCTCATGAATTAATCTGTTTACAGTAATAGAGGATAAGTATTTTTACAGTGGTTACTGTTGCAGTTCTATTTTCACCAAAAGGGAAACTGTAATGTTATATGCTTCAAAGAACTGTATTCACTTCAAGGTCGCCGACACAGCCCAAGCCCAGCACGGTTGACTCCAGAGCCATCTGTTGAAAAAGATGAGGGTATATCAGATGAAGAAGATCCAGCAGAATTGAGGATACTGTTGGAACTTAATGAACAAGTGAGTTTCTGCTTATTAATGAACTCCTAATTGGGTATAAACTGCAATAAACGGCATTTTCATTTGAGAAGGTTTTAATCTTGGCTTCAAGTAAAAAGTACTAAGCAATTTTAAGTGGAGGATCATATCACCTTCCTCTTCAGAGTTGAATAAACCGAGCTAGGTACCAGTATGAAAGCAGGTGGCAAGCCAAGTAACTACTCATATTCTTAAATCTATTAATTACATATAATAATCCTGTCATTTTCACATTTAACACTATTCAATTTATATAGATGTCATAGGATTATTAAATCATCATGATGGGTCATCTCATGACAAGTCCTATCCAATCTTTTTTCTCCTGCCACAAGCAGCCAACATTTATTCTTGCCCACTCTTTTCCTATTCTCCTTCTTTGTGTTATTACTCACTTGGTGTCCTTACCTTGTAAAATAAATGTTATGAGCTGAACCCACCCCCATTTAGAATATGGATGTATGTGAAATCGATCATAAACCAGGTAGTCCAGTAAGCATGATATGTAGATGAAAAAGGATCTGTGCCTTCTGGATTTTTGAGAACATGGAAAGAACAAAACATTTCCCAGTTCTATAACCTGTACTGACTTGTGGTGTTTCTGCTTCTAGATTTTACTGAATGTATTAGCTTTTTATTTTGTCCCCCCGCCCTTTTTTTTTTGTTCTTAGCACTCTGTACAAACTGCATTTTTAGCATTGAACAATGCTTTAACATTAAATGCTGTCAGAACACATTCGCTAATTAGATATGAATATTCACCAGTGAGATACCTGTACAAGTGTCCCTTGTCTCTGGTTAATTGGGAGCAGAAAATGCCATTTAAAGTGAATTGCCTTGAAGTAGGGAATTGATGCCCATAAATAATGTAATCGGGGATTAAAAACGACCAGAACATCCAAGCATTCCACAGGTGGTTCTGTAACCGGAGAAGGTAGCGTGCCATCCAAAACATGTTTAACCAACAATCTTTCCACAGCAACTGTAATACAACTTCTACACCCAATTTTAACTAATAATTTTACTGAAGAAAGCAGTCTTCTGGGATTTGGCACCGTGTATATGTGGTGTTAACACCACATTTTACTGTTTAAAAAAGCACATTTTTTGCATAAATAACCTCAACATAGCACTCCATTAAGTTATCAGTCCTTTTTACTTTCAAAAGTATACTGTATGATAATTATGCATTCTGTGCGTGCGTGCGTGCCTGCTGCAAGCTGTAAATACCTGTTTAAAGTTCTGATTCTTCTGTGGTTGGTCTGTGTTTTGCAGAGAATGAGTATAAAGTTGTTCAGATTCCAGCTCACATTTTTGCCTGTAAAATTTCTGTATAACATGACAACACATGTCGAATTTTACGTTCATTCTTCGTAGAATGATCATAGAGATGATCATGGTTCAAAAAATGATACATAGCCTCATCAGTTTGTCCGAAGGCTTCCCTTAAACCTTTAAATGTTAAGGTATTGTCTTCTTAAATGACATTGTCACCAGCATCCTGCATTTCTTTACATATTTGCCTGTCCATCTCTGCCAGGTACTCATGCATTAGTAGCAAAGATTCCAGCAATTCAGCTGCACCACCATCACTAAAAGCCTGGAATCCAACCTTGTTTTCCAGAATTGTAATTTCGGTGCAGAGTGATGCATGCATGCAAGATAGGAACTACTTTATGCTGGAAAATTTGTGTCCCTTGGAAATGCGATTTTTCAACAATAATTTGCCCCATATACTTGTGTGTGGAGAAACAAAGATAACTTGGATAAATGGGACCCTCAACATTGCGAGGTGTGAGACATTATTATTTAAAATTTTAATTTGATCAGTATACAACCTCACACTTCCATATTGAGCATATTCATGTGACAGTAACTATCTAGACTTGAATTGAGGTAATGGTTTTTTATCATCTGAAGACTGAGATTATATATCCTTTTCCTCAGTCTCTCCACGTGAGTACTGAGATCATGCTCGTAATTGACCATGGCTATCTCCATCCAAATCCTTATCCACTCATCATTCATTATTATTTTCACACTTCATTTGCTACTTACAACCTCTCCAGCTGAAACAGCATCACTTTATTGTCTAGTAATCAGTGTAACATTAAAATGATAAAAGAGATAAAACCATTAGTCATGTTAACAAGAGTTCAGAAAGTAATTTATGACATACAAGTACATTACTTCAGATCCTTGTATTTGTATACAAAGAATGTGGCAGGAAGTATAAACTAGCAATTAAGTAATTTTATATATATTATTTTCTAATAAAATTTCCACTACAAAACTGACAGATATACTCATATGCTCAAAGTTTCCTTAACCTCATCAAAATTGAATCAGTTATCCTCTACACTACCAAATCTGTATGTAATTTTTATAGGAGGCAGCAGTGTTGAGGCGGAAAGTGGAGGAACTGGAAAGTGAAGGTGAAAACATGAAGCACAAATTGAAGGAACTTCAGGACAAGCTTATTGAGAAGACTGCAAGAAAAAATACAGTAGCATCACTAGCAAGTTCTGAACCTGCCCCAGGGAATGCACTGCATGAACAAAAACTCAAGGTGATAGCAGTATTCTGTTAATGATTATAACGTCCTTTCAGTCACATAGATAGATTTTCTGCCCAGCTCAATGTTCAGGTAGCTTCACAGCCTTCTAAGAGCAACTTGTTGATAAAGATAAATCCAGATTTATGTGATGATTACTGTTCCTGAAAGTCACTGTGTAACAAAAACTCATATATCAAAAGTATGATTTTTCTAAAACTTATGTTAAAAATTCATTCATTTCCATTATTTTCCATATATCCATACAGGTAAAAAACCTAGGATGTGGAAATAGTCCCTTTGATAATAGATGTGTCCAGATATATATATAATAAATTACATGAGTTACATAATTAAAACCACAAAAATTATTCAATTAACATAGATAATAAAATAGAAAATAAAAAACTTAATACCATTTTAATTAATAAACATAATTTAAAAAGAACATTACTATCAAACTTAAAATTAATACAATTTCATTTAAATTACCTAAATTAACTGAATAAATGCATTATAAATTTACACACTTATGCCAGTTATCTTTCCTTCTTTCTTTCTTTCTTTATTTATTTCATTTTCCCATAAATGAAAATACATTGATACAGGACTCGTCATATCACAATACTATCAGAGAAAAACATATACGGGCAATTCTACAGGTAAACAATACATATAGATCATGCTTCTCAAAATGAAAAGCTGCATAAAAATCAAGACAAAACATTACGTCAACCACGCAAGAACCGTATGAGATCAGCAATCAGATTATAGATTATTTGTAAGAAGCAAGGTTTTCCATTATTCTCCAATCTAGATATTCCCGCAATGAGTAAAAGGAGCCAATATAGAGAAATCTTTTAAGGCATGTTTAAACTCATCAACATCATTTGTCATGTTCTTAAGATTCTGTGGTAAATTATTAAATATCATAATCCCAGAACAGTAGACACCTTTTTGGACTTTAGTTAATCTATAAGTTGAATGATGTAAATCTGAACTTTGTCTGGTATGGATATTATGTATATGAGAATTTAGTGTGAAAGTATCCATATTTTTAACAACAAACATGGATATTGAAAATATATATTGTGAGTAAAATGGAAGAATATTTAGATACCTAAACAATGGATGGCAAGAGTCCATTTTTCTAGCTTTCATAATGATTCTAACTGTTCTTTTTTTAATTTTAAAAATTAAATTACTATTGGCAGAATTGCCCCAAAATATAATTCCATAGGACATAATGGAATGTACATAAGCATCCGTGGTGGCCTGGGTTCGATTCCGGGTCTGGTCAAGTGGGATTTGTGGTGGACAAAGTGGCACTGGGGCAGGTTTTCTCCGAGTACTTCGGTTTCCCCTGCCAATCTTCATTCCACCAATTGCTCCACAATCACCCTCACCTATCATCTGGGGCTGGTACAATAGGCCAGAAGTGGCCGCAGTACAAGGGACTTAGTCCCACCCCACTAACATTAAAAAAATTACATAGGCATAATAAGTCATCAGTAGACTCTCCTGGGACACAACGGAAGATAAAGTTCTGATGGCATAGACAGCTGAACTCAGCTTAATTACTACTTGATTAATATGATCTTTCCAGGACAAAGTACTATCAATGTTTAGTTCAAGAAATTTGACATTACAAGTGTTGTGATTAGAGTATCACTATATATTATATTTAAGTTTGATCCTGAGTTTTTTTTCCAATGTGGTAAACTTCTGCTCTGTTCTGCTCACAGTCTCAAAGGGACCAGTTTGAATATACTACAAGTGGCACAAAATGCTGCCCTGCTATACACATAATATTTTTTAGCTTTCACAAAATATGATTGGAAAAAACATGTTAAAACAAAGAGCACTGTTGTAAAATTTTGTAAGACTAAATTCAGAAGAAAACGATACTGAAACTAATATAGATATGCAGATATTCTCTTTTCTAAGCTTAAAACTGAGAAGGCTGATAATAAATTATGATTCTTTTTATAATCAGCACACCACTGCATCATCATCATCATCATCATATATATTCTTTCTGATTATTAGTTCCGGTAATATTTATGGTTGACAATTTTATCTCAGATTGAAGATGTATGTAATTCAGTTCAAATTATATGTTCCATGATTACACCAGTGCACATAGTGTTAAAGTATTAACAAATTTCAGGTATTGGAAGCTGAAGTATCTGAGCTGCGTATGAAATTGATAGAGAAGGAGCGAGACTGTGAGAGACTACATGCTGAACTTACTCTTACACAGAAGAGGGTTTCTAAGGGCTCTATTCAGAAAAGCAAGTGAGTGGTGGGAATTTTTATTCCCTTTGTTCATTTATTTTCGTTTGTACAATTGTTCAGGAGCCAGATTAACTCTATAAAGTAGCTAGCTATGAGCTCAACTACTGGGGCTTGATTCCCAGCAAGGGCACATCTAGTCTAGCTGTGAGTCCCACTCAGGTTACTATCAAAGTAGGACTGGGGGCTTCTAGAACAAGTTTAAAATGATCAGAACATTAATCTGACTACTGACCTGCTTGTAGTACCAGCACTGTAGAACTTTACCTTCACCATCCTTGTATGCCTTCATCAGGTGTTATACAGAAGGTACAGGCAACTTCACCTTTCACATATTTTAAGATATCTATCTTGATTTTTCTGCGCTTACTTTCTGTTCAAACAGGAAATATTAGAATTAAGAACATCCTGTGATATCTAAAAGTAAGTGATGCATAAAATGTTGAATATCTTTGACTGGCAATGATTTAAACAATTATAGAAACCTGGCATGCTTCAAATGCAGTGTTGCATGCACAGGCACATACAAGGGTAAGCCAATAAGTGAGTTACAAATGGATATAGACCTTAAACAAATAAGAGTACTGATTTGTAAAGTGTCAGTGTTCAGTTTGTTGTCTGTGTATATCCAGCTAATGATTCTTAGAATTCTCATTTCTGTTGCTTCTTTTCTTTTATCTCTGTCAATGCATATCCATGTCTTCTGTCACATCATATTTTCTGTGATGACAAGCATGTACTTCAGCATATTGTCGCGTATTGGGCGTATATCGCGACAAATAAATTCTCGATGTATTCGATGTAGCGAACTTTATTTCACATTCGCACTTACAATCACCCAAATTACAGATTTACGATTACTGCTATCCGCAGTATCACAAATAGTATACTCCAAATGCCAGAATACAACTGACTGGTTGCTGGCTAACTCGGAACTAACTCGGAGGTAGCTCGAGGACTCACTGACTCGTAGGTAGCTCCAGGACTAACTGACTGACTGACTGACTCAGTACAACTGACTGNTGCACAGGCACATACAAGGGTAAGCCAATAAGTGAGTTACAAATGGATATAGAACTTAAACAAATAAGAGTACTGATTTGTAAAGTGTCAGTGTTCAGTTTGTTGTCTGTGTATATCCAGCTAATGATTCTTAGAATTCTCATTTCTGTTGCTTCTTTTCTTTTATCTCTGTCAATGCATATCCATGTCTTCTGTCACATCATATTTTCTGTGATGACAAGCATGTACTTCACAATATTATTTTACCAAAGTATCTGTAAATTATTTTATTTTAGGTTCTGGATGGGTTCTGTCTTCTGGGATCTAATGCTGTGTAGTCTGGTGAAAGTAAACCAATCATTTTGGAGGAAAGTATCGTCTCCAACTTCAGGGTTGAAGAGTAAGTTAAACAAGAAAGCAGCTTGAAGCAGACAGTAAGCAGAGCAAAGACCCTGAATATGAAGGCATTATGTTCCTGAGAAATGATGGTTGACTTTCATCGACCTACATGGTGTTATGTCCTGTAAGATATAACAGTTCCCTGTCTCTAAGTTATTTCACTTATGATACTTGTATGGTGTCATTTCAAATTATGCAGCCATAGGAAAGATTGTAATTATGTATTTGGTGCAACAAATGCATGCAACAATATTTCAGGTCACTGGACAGTGGAAGCGAGCAACAGGCTTTGGACTTGAAGCGTCAACTCCAGGTGATAGAACAGGAAGCAGCAATCTTGCGCACCAAGACTCAAACACTTGAATCAGATAATGAAAAGCTGGCAGCAGAAAATAAACAATTGCATCTGCAGAGGATTAAAAAGTGGCCTTTAGAAGCTGAAAATGAAACTACATTAAAAGCAAAAATTACATCATTAGAAACAAAGCTTACAGATGCTAACAACAAGGTAACTTGGATATGGAGTGTAGTTCCATAGATGGGCTGTCTTATAACAAGGCCTCCATTCTTCTCTGTCCTGTAATAACCCCTGCTGTATGTGTCCATTCTTTCTGAACTTTATTTTTTCCCCTCCACACTTGGTCACTCCAGCTAGTCCTTGATGTTCCTAAAGAGTGCTTATTCAGCAACTTCATTTATTGCTTGTAAAGGATCCCTGTAATTGTCCATGCATGATATGTGTATCCAGTAATCTTAACCTTTAACATCTGAAGTGCACCGATCAGTACAGTGATGAGTATGGACGAAGTAGCCAAAGTACAACATTTGTGCAGTTGGGCATTTAAACTCTGCTAGTATAAATGAATGCCCAATCCTATATATAGACAGACAGACAGACATGCAGTAAGGTCATGATGAAAATAACCTGCAGAGGGAACCTGCAGTTTAATATGTACATGTGATTCCTTTGTCTGCTACCTTCTGCAACTTATATTAAGTAGCCTACCCATGAAATTGAAAATGGAAATAAGCATGCCATTAGACCTATTTTAAGTTTGTTGAATCCAGTCCATAACTTCATGTACCACTTCTCAAAGATCCAACTTAATGTCATCCTCCTATATGCACATTGGAATCACAAATGGTCTTTTATCTCAGGTATTCTAACATTAATTCCTCCCTGATTTTCTTGGCCTATTTGTGTTCAATGAGAAGTACAAATTATTAATTTCCTCATGTAATTTTTTCCACTCTACTTTCCTTTGTCTGACTTGCATTCAAGGATTCTCCTCAGCCCTTTGTTCTTCTACACTTTAAGAATAGCAGAAATAAAATGGACACTTCCATACACTTTTGCAGGTGAAAGAATTGGAAGTTAAACTGAAGGCAGAAGAAGCAACCAAATTAGCAGCTGAGGAAGATCAGAAAAAGAAGCCAGGATTAAAGGACACAGCAGAAGTTACCAGACTGAAGAAGGAGTTAAAAATGAAAACAGAAGAACTGTCCAAACTCCAGGTTCAAGCCAGGAAGGTCAGTGGTGTGACAGTTGTGTACCTGTCAGGTTTTATCTTAACAGGAAGCACAGTGAACTAATGCTCATGTGTCCATTACTCAGGTCATTTTTGAACTGCCCCTCCCCTCTTAAGCTAACTAGAAAGGGGAAGACACTGCTTTTGTCCCCTGGTTCCTTTACGTTGTTTCACAATGCCTCTATCCCTGAAACAGGGTGGGGCGGCCAAGCTATGGATCTTGACCAACAATAGCCAGAAAAATCTCCAGATAACAACAGTAACAAATATTTAATATACCAAAAATGACTCAGATACAATAGAATAAAAATACCATGAAATACAACTTCCCTCTCGATGCCGCAAAACCAACGTTGAGTATTTTGGAGATCCCTCGCCATCAACGGCCCATAAAACAACTCAGGGGCCAAAACAAACTTGAATTTCGAAAAGAAGGAAAAACAAAACCCCAGAACAGAATTCCACTCACTCACTGTTTGATGGCGAGGCACTCCCTCTTAGAAAAAAAAATTTGGAATTTTAATTTTAATTTTTAATATTGTAATGGATTTACTTAACATGTTTCCAGGCAGCAGCTCTGTAAACACAGTGCAATATGCAGCAATAGAAGCTCTATATCAGTGAACGAATGTTTATAGCTTGTTGCACGCCAGTGGACTGGCGAGGTAACTATCACGTGACTCGTTTTCTCTGTGGTCTTCCTTATGCAACAGTAGAACTGTGATTTCTGTATGGTCCGTGCCGTGGGCCATAAGTTCAAAGCAAATTGGAACTAGAAGTGACCGTGAGTGACAGAGTTTTGAGTCTGAGTTCATCGTGGAGAGGAATAAGTAGACATGTGAAGTGCGGTTGGAAGGCTTTATTCATGTGTAATATTTGGAGTGATTTGAAATGCTAGTTACTGTGTTCTAATTGCATTACCAGGAAAAGACCAGCATGTGTAAATCAGCGATAGCTCTGTATTTAAATGTGTTCAAGGGAGATTGTAACCAAGGTGCCAATAAATCCAATCATCTGAACTAGAACCTGTCATTTTCGTCACGTGTAGCACCCTACACATAACAATACATTTTATAACATAACAGCATTACATAAACAACATACCTGTACAATACGCTTCCAATGTGCAAACGCTGGCCATTGTGGCAAGGTATAGCAGATAGAAAGAAGGGTGGCTGTAGAAGCTCGCTATACCTGATTATGGCTGAAATAGGCCAAAATATGTAGTACACGCAAATGCTCAGTTTGTTCATACCAGAATTTTGTTGACTGAGTGATAATAAACATTCTTCTCTTAAGATTCATTTTAATATTATGACATGAAAACCAGAAGAGACATCCATACCTAGGCAATGGCACAATAAACACATAACGACATCATTAAATAAGGAGTCATTCCGATGCAATGGCCAGGAAATGCACTGTGATATCAGTAAACAAAGAACCGTTGCTGTGCAGTGGCCAGTAAACATTGACCATGAGTTGGTTATGTGGGACACAGGCAGAAGTAATCCTAAACCGTGCAAACCCAAATGTGCATGATACTGGATAAGTAGAAGCCATACCTAGGAAGTAGAAGAGGCTTCAGCTTGGCGGCAGTCAGACCTATGACATTTAGGTTGTTTAACTGCAGATTCAGGGTAGTTATATAAGTTAAGTAAGAACCTGCTGTACAAGCCAGCCACTGTATATCTTGTATTAGTACAGTGCAGTTACAAAATACGAGTATGCGTATATCCTCGTGCAACAAACTTAACGCTACACAGAAAGACCCCCCCCTTGTTGAAGAAGAGACCCCATTTCTAAACATGTACATGTCTAGGACAGAGCAAAAATTTTGGTCATGGATCGTGTGGAGAGTGAAATCAGGAATGATCATGCTGGCGAAGGTCAGCAACAATTTTACTGACCAGCAACAGTTTCTTCTTAGTGGGATGATACTGAGTCCATTTGGTACAGCAACCACTACTGGTCTATTGTACCAGCCCTAGATGGTAAATGATGGTGATTGCAGAATAACTGATGGAATGAAGATTGGCAGGGGAAACTGAAGTACTCAGAGAAAACTTGCCCCAGGGCCACTTTGTCCATTACAAATCCCACATGACCTGACCCAGGCCGCCACGGTAGGATGACAGTTGAGGATGAGTGGTGAGATGGTAGCCAGCTGGCAATGACGTAAATGAGAGCAGCATAAGCTTTGTTGTTTGAAAATGACCAAGCAACAACTGGTGAAGACCATAACAGAAGAAGACTTAATTTGAGTTTAGTGAGAAGTCATGCATGTGCATTAGTGGTAGTGTTATAATTACTTGCAGTTACGAGTTGTAAGATTTCAATAAATCCATTTACAAATCAAAACCCCGTGTCTGTTCACTAATTCATGACAACTGATGTCACATGTGGGATTTGAATAGCATTCCTGACAGCAGTTGTCACATGTAGTACTGACTAGACACGGGGTTTGGGTGGGCAGTTTGATTTATTGGAACCAACTCTTGACTATACTGTACAGATCTTCCATTTACCCTAATCTATCCAAAGTGGTCTCTTCCAATGGTATTTTTTCGACCACAATTTTTTATTGTTTTCCTGCCATTCATGCTACATCTCTCACTTATTCAGATGCTTAATTTAGACATCATAGCAGTATTATGCAAATGGTATGAATTGTACGTTATTTTTTTCATTCTCTTTGTACTACTTTCTCTTAAGCCCAATTCCTATCCTTAGTCATATTACTAGTCATTGAATATATTTGTGTTTCTTACAGTCCGAGGAAGATAACGAAAATCTGACACTGTCTTTGAAACGATTGAAAGAGGATGCAGTTTCCAGTAGTGCAAAATTTTACAGGCAGCGGACACCGAAAAAGCCAACAGACTTGACCTCAAAAGTGCAACTCAAGAAAATGGTAGAAGATCTTGAAAATGAAATTGGTATGTCCAGTGTGGGTGTATAGGATTGTGTAAGCAAATGAGAAATATCATTCTTGTTGGAGAGGGACAAGGTTTACTAATGGGTTTGCTGGGATAAAATTATTTTTGTATTTACTTCATCAGTTTGTGAGATTATTTATACATGGCAGCATGAGATGTATGATGAATCTAGCAGAAACAGTGAAATAATTTTCGCTGATATAGACACGAATAATTAATGAAAAGAAAATACTGTCTGCATATACAAGATCCTAATGTGTGTTCACAGTAACATAGAATAGATACTTTAGTGTGTTAAATATATTTCAGATGTTTTGCTTGATACACAGTATGTGGTATTTTTCATAAGGATGACAATCTTGGTGCAGATAATAATTCATTATCTTTCTTCTGTACTGCCCACCAACTAAAAGCCCATAACAGGCATATACCATATATACAACATATAACATATACCATATATACAAAGATAATTTTTCTTTGTTGACTGGTTTCATGGCTCTGCTGTGAAGCACATATGAATTCAGCCGGTATCAGCATGCCTGACATCTGATAATGTTTGGAATATAGTAGGTGCAATTCACAAATCACATCTGGTATTGAAAATATTGTCCCTCTACTCACAGATATCAATCACGATTAATTGTTTTGTTAAAAAGCACAGGTACAACAATCCTTCTTGCACTTACAGCACACCAGACACCACCTTTCACTTGATGGAGTGGGACTTCATGGGTTAGATGTGGACTCTGTGAACTCCAGTAGCTATTATTTTGCATATTTATGTATCCCTGCAAGTTAAACCACACTTCATCATAAAAGACTCTCAATTGCTGATTGATCTCACCTTTGACGATGGACTATAGAAACCAACTGCAAAAAATGTACAGTGCTAGCTGGATCACAGGGCTGCAAGGCATGCGTAGGTTATTGTCGTTTTATAGGATCTAAGCTTCAGCAGTTGTGTTGCTATTCTTGCACTAGACTTTGACACTCTTGTCTCTTGAGCCAGACGTTTCAGTGATTGTCTGTATGTATGTTAAAGTCTGAAATCCCAGTAATTCTGAGTGTTTTGAACCATTTTCAGAACCCTTTAGAATCTACTTATGTGAAATACCTTGTCCAAACAATATGAAGATGGAAGCAATGTGCATGTTATCTAATTGGAAATAATTACAAGGTTAAATAGGTGAAGCAGTATATAATTGTTCCCTCATAGAGAATACTTTATCCACATTGTGAAGGTTTTAAGTGAGAGAAGGTTCTGATTATTTCATTCTTTGTTAAGGGGAGGTACTCGTTTTGCTGAAGAAATCAGAAACAGAGAAATCAAAATTACAAGAAGGGAAAGGGACTGCTGAAGATAAGGTATGGAAAGCAGAGAAAGAAAAGTTGCAGAAGCAGTTGGACGAAAATAAGAAGGAAATGGAGGAACTAGAAAATTCACTGATGGAAGAAAGGGATAACGCAGAAAGAGAGAAGAAGAAGGCTGTCGAAGACATTAAGGCAATCGAAGAAGGTAAGTAATGTTTTTTTTTTTTAATTTAATGTAAGAAAACTTCACTAATTCTTTTACATAATTGTAATAGAAGACAAATACATAAGATAATAACTACTGGATGTTTGAGCCATTTTTGAAATGAATATTTTTATGTGAAACTGGAAGCATTTAGTGATGCTGATTATGCAGGGGATGTAAAGGATAGGAACAGTGTAACGGGATATGTGATTATGATGTCGGGGGGCCCAATATCACAGTGCTCTAGGAAACAGAGTATTGTTGCATTATCAACCACTGAGGCTGAGTGCTGTAAAGAATTTAAATATCTAAAGGCGTTGATAGAGGAGTTGACAGGAAAAGGGGTGGAAGCTGAACTGTGTGTCGACAATCAGAGTGCAATCAAGCTAACAGAATCTGGACAAGTAACGCATAGGAGTAAGCACTTAGACGTTAGGTATCACTACATAAGTGAACAGTTGAAAGAGAAACTGTTCTCAATCAAATATTGTAGCACTGAAACTCAGGTGCAGACATTTTAACAAAACCGCTATCACCAGAGAAATTTACCAAGTTTAGAGACATTATACTTAAGAAGAAATAAGTCTGATTTTGATAAGACTGAGAAAATTTTAATTAAATGTACTAATTTTTAATCTGAAGACCAAAATTACTAAGTTTTTATTCAATTTAACTTTGTAAAACAGCTAATAATGTTGTAACATTTTGAAATTAAGGAGGAATGTTGAGAATCTAGTAATGTGAAAATGTTCAAGTTGGTAATAGTGATCTATATTTATTTGTCTTTGTTTTTGTTTTGTATTATAATAAATAATTTCTTCTCATCCAATATGGCTGTTAAGTGATATGTAAGCATGACACAAAGAAAGTCAACAAGCTGAAGATGTTACTGTCCATCTTGCCACCATCATTGCCCAGATTTAATCCTAGGTCAGTTCATGTGCATTTGTGGTGGAATGAATTGATACATTTTATATTTTACAGGCAGAAAGATGGCAGAAGAAGAGTGCAGCAAGCTAGAGGAAGAGAAGAAGGTATGGAAGGAAGAAATTAAGAAGCTGGAAGAAGACAAGAAGAAACTAGAAGAGGAAAGAAATAGAGCACATGAAGAAGTGAAGAAACTATCTGAGGACCAAAAACGTTTGAATGAAGAAGTTGTAAAAGTTAATGCTGAGAGAGGTTAGTATGTACTGAGTTCTTGTAAAAGTGTAGACTTGTGGAGTGTGATGTTTCGGTGCACTCTATGAACCAATAAATATTTATAAATAAATGATTAAAGCTTTTTATGAACTTGGCTAAACAAAACAGTATTGTTGTTTTTGCATACTCTTTCAAGAGACTGATATTTTTCTGATTTTCTGGTTGTCTTATATTTTATGTTCTCCTGTATGTCTTCATGGACATAGACATATGAGCAGCATTGCATGTCCTGCATTTTGATTATACTGTTGCAGCGGCTGCCATTAAGAAACAGGAGGAAATAGCAGTATTTATGCAGAGAATAGAGGCGCTCAAAACTGAGTTGGAAATAGAGCAGCAACAAGGAGCATCTCTAAGACAGAAACTGGAAGTAGCCACTAAAGTTGAGCAAGAGAAAATCAAACTACAAATAGAGGTGAGGTAAACTCTGTGAATGTAATACTATGGCAGCAGTAGATGCTTGAGGCTTTCCGTCCCTGTTGAGATGGTTACGTTAGCTGAGGGATCAAAGTAATACATAAAAGGAACTTCATGATTTATACAGGTTACCAATGTCGGTAGAACAAAAAATGTGAGCAGTTACAGTAGAGCAATGATGTAGCTCATAGCGGAGACAAGATATACATACAAATTTGTTCTGGGGAAACACAGTATTGTAAGGATAGTGAAGTCTAGGATGTTGCAGTTGGCTGGGTATGACACTTCAAAGGAGAAGAGACAAGTATATGTAACTTTATTTAGTATGTGTGCTCTGTAATAGCTCTAACAGTAATAGGAGTACTATGCAAAGTAGAATGATACAGAGGTCAGCTAAAAAGTAGTGGCAACACCTCTTATAGTTCTGAAATGACTTTATTACCTGAGGTAAACACACTTACATTCCTTCAATGTAATCATCCCCCATGTGTACCACCTTATGCCAAATTTGTGGAAGGCGTGGTACACCATCAGCACGTCCACTTCTGTTGATGTGCAGCATTGACCACCCTACAGCATGAATAATCTCCTCTCTTTTGTTGTAACGTGTCCCTCGCAGTGGTTCTTTCATTTTGGCAAAGACATCATAATCACACGGACTCATATCGAGTGAGTATGGTGGATGTTACAGTATCTCCCATTGCCAGCGGCGAAGGAGATCCTTGACAGTGTCAGCAGTATGAGCCCTTGCATTGTCATGAAGGATGATAGGGTTCGTTGCCAACAAGTGTCGTTGCTATCTCTTGAGTGCTGGACGAAGACGATTACTCAGGAAACTGCAGTAGTAGGCAGAGTTTACTGTCTGTGATTCAGGTACAGTGTGGTGCATTATCACTCCATCAATGTCATATGCCACAATTAACATCATCTTCACATTACTGTGTGTAGGGCACACTTTCTTTGGCCGAGGAGAGCCAGGATACTTCTATTCATTTGATTGTTGCTTCAAGTGCAGTTCATATGAGTGAGCCTAAGTTTTGCCCAGAGTGATGATCCTTCCAAGGAAGTCATCACCTTCCCTCTGGTACTGGTCCAACAAGTCCTGTGCAATTGCATAACGTTGCCATTGTTGCATCTCGGACATTGTATGGGGTACCCAACGCGCTGCAATTTTGTGGTATCCAAGAATATCATACAGAATGTGGAGCACGGTTTTGTGACATATGCCTACCTTAGCAGCTAACTCCCATGCAGCCCATCGACGATCAACATCCAGCAAAGAAGCAACAAGCTAAATTGTGTGGTTGTCAACATGGGGTTGTCCTGAACGATGGCTGTCATGAATGGCATCCATCCCTTCACGGAACAATTTCACCCATCGTGCCACTGTGCAATATGGCAAAGCAGCATCACCACATGCTTCTCACAGTCCCTGATAACAGTTTTATGCACTACGACCTCGTGCAACTTCAATTTTTATCCAGGAGTGTTTTTCTTGTTTTGTAAACATGTTGTTAGGGCGCTTGAACTGGGCCCCTGCAGTTCAAGATGACGCACAATGCAACTCAATGAAACACAACCAGAGCCACGCACTGCACTACTTCAACTGAACTTCTGCTGTCAGCTACAGATGGCGCTAGTGCCACCTGACGCACATCTTTCATGTTACAGCAGTGTTGCCACTACTTTTTATCCAACCCTTGTACACTGGCACTTAGTTCTATATATAACTTGCATAATATCTTCCTTTGTTTCAAAGATGTATGCGAATAGAATATTGATGCTTACAATGCACTCATAAAGGTTGATTGCAGGGAAATGGAGAGAAAGAGATTGGAGAACCAAATTTAAACCCTGGAATTTACTGGAATGCTCAGTATATTGTTTGTTTTAGGTTACAAACAGCAGTGATATTCAGTCATCTTTGTACAGTATTGTGGCGCAAGCATATTTCTGGGCTCCACTTCTACAATTTCACCAATTCAATTTGATTCAGCAGATTTTAACTTCGATTTTCATCCTATTAGCATTCTTTATGGCCCTAAGGATCATGCAGACTAAAATGTACGTGAAGCGCTGATATATGTGCTTTAAATGCATTGATTTTTTTTTTCATTAAAGTTGATGGAAAAGACGAAGAAGATTACAGAGGCAGAGAAGAAAGTAAAGGAAGTTGAGGAGAAAATGAAAAGGAATGAAAAACTACTTAGCAACAACAAAACTAAGATCAACAGGCTTGAGAAAGAGGTGAGTCTGTATGGTCGTATGAGTTGTCTTATAAATATTTACAATAATTTGATTTCTTAAGTTTTTTCAAATAGTCTTGTGACTGAGAAGAAAAAGTTTATAGTGAATAAATGAAATTTAGCTATAAATGTTTATTTATATATTTGCCGTTGTTTATTGGTTCCTTGAACAGCACTTTGGCTAAGAATTATAAATAATACAGGAGAAAGCATTTGCGGAATTTTGAAAATACTAGCTCATCATTCCCCTGCAGGGACTGAGTAGGCAGCCTTTCTAGGCTCTTTGTGGGTATTTGGTGCTTAGGCACATGGTACATTTTATTTAGTCTTTGATCACTGAGATCCGGTTGCCGGGACATACAGTGTGAGTCTTGAAGTAGGACATGGTGGGTTAAATATTTCTATTGAACAGGGTCTACATGGAGTGGCTATATAATGACCGAACTGATTTTTTTGCTGACTCACTGTGGCCTTGGCAACAACGAGTGGGGTGGCATATTAGCCTGTCCTGTCCTCTCCATCAACCCTATGACTTCCAAAGCCATATGGCCAACAGTGTGGTAGCAGCCTTTGTTTGAAGCAGGCATTGTATCTGAGCTATGTTGGAATTATGTTAAGTGTTGAAGTAGAGCAACATCTCAATGTGAAATTCCTCGCAAAACTTGAAAAATCCGCTGCAGAAACATACATATTGTTAATTGAAGTTTATGGTGATAAATGTCGATCTCATACTCAGGATTTTCATTGGTTCAAAAGAGTTAAAGAAGGAAGGAGAGAGATGGAAGACGAGCCATGTCCCGGTCAGCCTTACACTTCAAAAACAGATGCAAACATTGAGAAGGTCACTGGAATTGTTTGAAAGAATCATTGCCAGAGCATTTGAGCAGTTGCTGAATTAGCTAACATTGATAAAGAAAGTGTTAACCAGATTCTACATGAACATTTAACATGAAAAATGTGTGCTGAAAGATGGTGCCGAGAGTCCGCACTCCTGAGCAAAAGGAAACTCAAAAATTTGTGCTGACATACTTCAAAACATTGAAATGATCCAGACTTTTTAGGAAATGTAATAACTTGTAATGAGTCATGGTTTTTTCAGTATGACTTGGAAACTAAGTACCAATCTATGCATTGGAAGAGTGCCAGGTTATCAAGAAAAAAGAAAAGCACAGAAGAGCAAGTCAAATTTCAAAGCAGTGATGATCGTTCTTTTTATATCTGTGGAATTGTTCATGTTGATTGGGTGCCTGAAGGTCAGACCATTAAGCAGGTCTATTATAAGGAGGTTCTGACAATCCTTCATGAATGGATGAGAAGAAAGAGACCTGAAGTGTGGCAAAATGGCTCATAGAGTCTTCACCATGACAACACGCTGGCACACAACACACTGTCTGCAAGATGTTTCTGGCCAAGCACAAGATCCCCAAGTTGGAACATCCAGCCCTACTCACCTGAACTAGCCCTATATGACCTTTTTTTTATTTCCAAAGATCAAGTCTGCATTAAAAGGAACCTGTTTTGAGTCCGTAGATGCAGGGAAGGCAAAGGTGACAGAGGTAATGAAGAAGCTATCAGAAAAGGACCTGCAGCATTCCTTCCAACAGTGGAAAATTCACATGGAGCTCTGTAGGGGTCGGGGAGGGGACCACTTTGAAGGTGATAACATTTTTATTGTGAGATTACTTGAATAACAGATTTTAGAGCATCAGTCCGGTTATCTGATAGCTGCTCCACGTACATGCAGTTTTTCCACAAGTCCCAGTGCAATCTTGGGAAGTTAGTCCCTTATATGTTGGTACTGCTGGCTCTTTCTATGGTACTAAAACAAATGAAGCATGAGACTGACCACTCAGTTCCATCTAGGGCTGAGGTATAGTATGTCTGGAGGTTTACATCTACTTCTTGGTGCCTCCAGGGCTTTGTGCTTAGGCTCAAGGGACACTTTACTTTAGCCTCTGACCATTATTAATATGTGGTTTCTAGGACACATAATTTTCCTCCTGAGGTAAGGCAAGCTGGACTAAATATATTTATTGACTGGCTATACATGCCATTATTCCATATATCCTAATGTAATCACATCCCCATATTCTTGTGTCTTTCTGCTTTCATTGAACAGTGTATCCAACTGAGTCGCAATCCACATGAAGATTATATGAACCATTGACAGAATTTAAAATATGGCTGATAGTGCAAGTCAGAAATGTATCTTCTATCATTTGAAGAATATTGTAACACAAAATATTCTCTAGCCTGTGATGAGTTTTACTTCTTCACAATTTATAAATTATTCAGTTTATTCAGCCTCACATGTATATATTATCTTCAGTTAAAAAAATGAATCTTTTCATGTAGTCTCCAATTTACATTTGGAATATATTCTCAAGAATAGCAGTGTGCAGTAAAATAACAAATATAAAATCTTGTAGTTTTTGTTCAATTGATTGTTTGTTTATTTTACGTGTTGTGATATCATTTGTTGTGTAGTGTCAAATACGACTGAAAATCAATGATAAATGGGGAGCAGGAAAAGATATGGAAGGAGGCACTTTTGCCCTTCTTGTAGGCACTATACAACAATTTCTCTGGGTAAACTGAGGAAGATCACAAATTCCCTCAGTCAGAATGGATGATAATCTTGCCCAAGATTTGAACTGTGTACCTCTCAGATACTCTTCTAGAGGATTATCGCCAAACCAGTGTTTTGTTAATGCAGGTTGGAACAACATAAACTTGAGATTGCCTGTACCAATATTTCTTCACATTTCATAACTTTGTTAAATTTGTGTGTTAAACTTCAGTATTCGCAGATTTAGAATGTATCAGTAACCCTATGCTCTTCTTAACATAATGTAAATTTGTAAATCTGAAATGTGCATGCCTCTTCTAACATGGTATAATGTAGTAAAATGTCATTTACAGTGTAGATGCCCCCCCCAAGAAAAAAGAAGGAAAAGAAAGAAAGAAAGAAAGCATCCGGGTCGCACCATGAACTTACAAATATTTTAAATTATATGAATATAAAAATCTAAATCAAATTCTTTTTGTCAGAAGTAACTGTTAATTTACTATGAAGTGGTTTAAGAGAACATTTTGTTTTGGTTAGCTGATGGTTCTCAAAATTGGTGTGTTTACACAAAATTAAATTAACCGTTATTTTCCCCAGGTTCATTTTTATTTCCCTATATGCCCAGAAAATTACAATTACTTTTGATGAAGTGTCTGATTTTAATGTCTTTTGATATTGTATGATGAATTTATTGTTAACATTTCATACAGTAGTATCACAAATATGACTAACATATTTATTTTCTCTTTTCTTCCACTTTCCCTCTCTGTCTCATATTCAATCTTCCTTTCACTTTTATGTATTATAATATAAAATCTTATTATATAACTCTCATTAACACCTCTGTATTCTACTTTTCCTTTGAGCCTGTCTTTATATGCACCTTTTAAATCCTATGTATCTCTTATATTATACTGATTTATCCTTATACATCCTTTCACATAACATTCCATCCATATTTCCTGATGACCCCTTGAAATCAGCTTGAAGAAGAGAAAGAGAAGGTTCATTTGAGTGAATCACAGCAACAAGACATGACTTCTAAGTGGTTGGCGGAACGAGATGTTCTGAAGGAACAGTTATCAGATTTGCAGACAAGAAATGACAGTCTGCAAACATCATTGGTTAACAGGGATGTGGCTATTGAAAAACTGGTGAGGATGTTAACGTGTGTGAAGAAAACATACCAGTATTTTCTGATGTATTCTTGCAAGTTATGTATGCTACATATGTAAGCATATCTGAAAGAGTGTACATTACAACCTCATCTGTAACTTGAGATCCTTTACATACTCTGGTGCCATACTCTTCTTGCACATATGTGAATATTTATTTTAAAATGCTATAAATATCCTTTTTGAAAAATAATTTGAAGTTGTATTTATATATTTAATTTTGTATTTAATGTGAGGTAAATTTTAACCCTTTGTCACTTCTCTTATATTGGCATCAGGTAAAATTATTTTTTATGCCATCCTAAATGCCCAAAAAATTCCATAACGCTTTTGTAGTTCTTCAGGTATGAAATATATTCTCTGTCACTGCTGACTTCTATTTGCCTCTAACACCAGGGAGCACTTGCTGTAGTAGTAAGAAAGTGTACATTTCACGTATAGAGGAGTGGTTTGACCGACAGTGGCAATTTATGAACATTTTACCTTCAATGTAATTGATATTAGAACTGTCAAATTTCCCTAATGAACATCACATGATAAAATATAGTGTACAAGAAGAAGAAATGGAATTAACCATTCTGAAAAACGAATGTAACTGAACCACGAAAGTGTGCTTGTTCTTAACTTGCTGCAGCAGTCCCCTTTATTTTCCTCATTCTTTTTGATCACCATATACATTGAATTTAAACTCGTGTATCTTTCTTTGCTTGCATTAATAATCCATAGCTTATGCTTTTCATTTTATTTAAAACAGGTCAAGATTCTTAAATCCTAGTTCCTTAGCCCATACTAATGGAAAGGAAAGGGTTTTTCTCCTTTCCATCATATCTGGAGAGGTTCAAGAACCTGCCCAGCCTCTTACCCGGTGGATATTGGTAGACCCTTTCCATAGGGGTAATGCACCCAGAAAATGAAATTGATCATTCGTTTTCTTCCAGTGCCAAGGTCTAGTATGTGTTAGGCTCAAATTCTACATTATCTCTCTACATTCATGGCATGGTACTTTGCACAAAGGCAGCCTTACCTTTCTTTACCTTTATGTTCTTTATGATATGTAATAAATGTTGTTCTTACAGATTTGCAACTTCAGTTAAATGACATTGATATTGTAACGTGTTTTGCGTTACCGAAGACGCCGTAGAGATGTTTAATTGGTTTATTTAACGATCTACAACTAACGGCTACAATTAATTATCACACAGTTGCGGGGTTTCACACTTTATAACCCTAATCGCNAGAATGGATTAACCGGTGTGAGGATTCAAATAAAATTTCATCTATACTTTAAAAACATGAATTACTCTTATAATAAAATTATAAAGGTGAAACTATCCCTGTCACAGGCCGTGGTGATCCATACGTTTGTGAGACATCAAGGCTTCCACATTTTTTGGATAGTCAGCTCACAGATGGCGGTGAGGTTGTCAGCCTTATGTGCTGTCACCCTTTACCCCCAGGAAGATTCCTGGTACTCATTTCTATTAGAGGATGAGTCGAACCTGGGGCTATAGTGGGGCTGGATGGATTAGGTCAATTGAAAAATCCAACTACCTTATCAGGTATTGAACATGTGACCTTTTTAAAACTAAAGTAAAATTCATTGTTATAGGAAGTTAGTATGAAAGAAGAAATGGAGAAAGCAATGGCTGCAAGTGCAAGAGCAGGGTCAGCAGAGAACAAGGAGATCAAGTCCTTGCGTGCCCAGCTGGCAGGGAGCAAGGCTCAAGCACAGGAGCTTATGACAAAATTGGAAAAAGTATGTGTGTAAAAAGGAAACACTGCTATTATTCTTTATAGGAAATCTTTTCCTGCATCTTTAAGTTTAAGTTTTTCTACTAAAAAATGCATCCAAAATTCAGTCTCTTTCTTTCTATGGACTATTTGAGTTATAAATAAAGTGAACTCTCAAAATGTGGAAAGTCTAAAAAGCCCTGAAATTTTTAAATCATATGAGAAATTCTGGTTTTCACGTGAAGTTTCACAAGAAACAAATATTGGATAATGAACAATGATTTTAATGTTAATTTTTGTATGTGGATATTTTTAGAATAAATTTAGGTTATTTGAGAAAAAGGTGCTCAGGATATTTGGATCTAAGATGAGAAAGTAACAGGAAGATGAGGAAAATTTTTGTAACGATCTACTTCATAATTTCTACTTCTACAATTTCTACAATTTTGATGATTAAAAAGAATATGAGATGGGCAGGATATGTAGCATATATGGAAGAGATGGCAGATGCATACAAAATTTTAGTTGGAAAACTTCAAAAGGTGGGAGGATAATGTTAAAATGTATCTTAAAGCAGCATAGTTTGGTGAGGTGTGGACTTGATTGAACCACAAGGAAATCCGAATTTAGTTCTTGCACATTTAGTGAAATCCCATACTTAGTGGATCTTTCTTCTGGTCGCAGCCAAAATCCAATATGAACAATGTATTATTTGTCTATATTTATTCAATTAAGATTTAGTAAATAACCCACATTTAGTGTGATTGTGATCAAAACAAAACTCTGTATCAATTTTTCCCTCAGCTGGAATTGCTGCTGCATGACCATACATAGTGTGTCCATGTTCTGTTAGGACTGTGTTCATAAGAAATAGGAGACATGAATTATTTTCAAAATTTCTCTCTTTTTATTGAAAATAGTCTCCTTCTGAATCAATACATAGCTAGAATCGACTGAAAAGTTTTCTAAAACAGTCACTGTACTCCTTTTGTGGAATCGCATATAGAACTGCGGTACATTCCCTTTGGATGTCCTGGATGGTGTCATAACGGTCTCCCTTAATTGCCAACTTAACTTTTGGGAACAACCAGAAATCTGCTGGAGCCAAATCTGGTGAATACGGAGGATGATCAAGGAGTGTGATCCCTTTTCTGGCCGAAAAATCGCGCACGATCTTCGATTAGTGGGGTGGGGCATTGTCATGGAGGAGCAACCAGGAACCTTGCTCTTGATATTCAGGTAGAATTCAAAGAATTCTCGCCCACAAACGATTGAGGGCTCTGAGATAATAATCAGAATTCACTGTTTGACTTTCTGGCAGAAATTGCTTGTGAACGATTCCTTTGGAATCGAAGAAAATGGTTAGCAGTGTCTTTACTCAACTCTTTTGCGTGCGCACTCTCTTTGGTTTCGGCTTCTTTGGGTTCAACCATGCTGCACTCTGCCGCTTTGTGAGAGGCTCATATTGAAAACACCATGTCTCATCACCAGTAACAATCGATTTTGTAAATTTTTTATCACTTTGGGCCGACCGTAACATGTCTTTGCAGTGTTCCACTCTGACAGCACATGTGCTACAAACCGCGCACGGACCTTCCGTTTGCCCAGATCCTCGGTCAAAATTTTATGCACAGTACTTTTTGATATTCCCAAAAGCTCCTTGATGAGTCTTGCAGAAACACATCTGTCTGATGCAACAATTTCGGTCGCTTTTTCCACATTTTCTTCAGTGGGACTTTGATACACGTGGAGCGTCTTCAGTGTCCTCCCTATCATCACGAAATACAGCATACCATCGAAAAATGTTCGAGCGACTCAAACAATCACTACTGTACACACTTTTCATCATTTCGTACACTTCTCCAGCTGTTTTGCCTAACTTCAAACAAAATTTGATGTTGACTATCTCTTTAACTGCCATTTTTCAACAAGCCTCAGAACAGTACTATTACATTCAAGGTCAGAACTCATCATGCAGCGATGCCTGCCCTTTGAAATTATAGACAGCCACAGCTGAAACTTCAAGAATCTTAATGCTACAGCTTGCCAACAGATGGCATTGCAGAGCAAAATTTAAAAAAAATGAGCCCTAACAAATCCTGGACACACCGTGTATTTCCTGTCAGGTAGCATCGTCACATTAATTTCTTTGATTCTCAGATGAGCTTTTTTCAATGTTTATTTCATGTCATTGTTTCAGAAATTAATGTTATATGGTTGGATTTGAGGTGCTCACAGTGATGACTTTTCAGAGTTTCTTTAACTATATACCTCAAGAGATTACTTTATAATAAATATAATAACTTTAAAAAAAATTCTGTTAGAATGTGATCAGTCTCTTGGTGTAATTTTGCATAACTTCCATTCAGTGAAAGCTCAAATTTTGTGTAAGAAAACTTCCTAGAGGTCCATTAAATAGGAATTTTACTGCCATTAATGTATATGTCCAGTAGCAGGCTGTTATAAACTCTGTACTGAATGTTCGGTGTAGGGCAGTTTCTTATCCAGCTGAGCATATATCAGCTTTCCTTTGAGGGGCACAGCCCACACTTGAGGTGGAGAAAGATAGCAGAAATACTAACAATGCAGTAGTGGTGGTATTAATAACAATAGCAACAGTAATAAAATTGTTTTGTAGTAATGAAGTGGTTATGTATGTTAAGAATCTATGTACCACTAAGCTTACTGTTACATGCATACAGATTTATGTATTATAACAAAACACGGCTCAATATACTTTACCTTATACAACTTTTCAAGGAAATCCTTGTGAGAAAGTTACTTTCAGAAATATTTCTTATTTCTCTTCACTGATTTTTGCTTCAATTTTAAGTATGAGTAAATAAGAAATAAATCTGTTTTGTAATATGATAACAGATATCATTAGGCCGAGTACTAGAAAGGATAAGGAGGAGGAGGAGGAGGAGGATGATGATGATGATGATGATGATGATGATATTATAGGGGATACAGTATAGTCACAAAATTATTTTTGCTGACTAGTTGCTTCTGAAATCATGGTGCTTCTTACACAGCAGCAAATACAAAAATGGCAGGGCTTGTTTCTAGGTTGAGAAGTTACTGAAGGCAGCTGAAGAGAAGCTGAAGACTCATGCTGAAGAAGAGAAGAGCAAGGCTGATTTAGATTCAAAAATATCTACACTTGAAGTGAATCTGCAGGTATCAGAAAATGTTGAGTTGTGCTTCCTGAAGGTGCAGTTGTTAATAGCATAGGAAGGCGCTATCAAACCTATTAATAAATGTAGACCATTTATTGGTACCCCTATTGCTATGTACTAGAAAATTTTATCTCTAAAATAAGGATTCAACCATGGCTTCCTGCAAAATGCTCTGATTATAAAAGCTATGGTTTCCAACCCTTTCAGATCCATGGATCCATAAATCAGCATTGGGTTTTCTGAGGACCATTACCTCACATTGTACAGTGCAGATGTTAGTCTGTATATCTAATTATTACCAGTATGTGTGTGTTATTTATATATAGTATTAACGTTTTTATATAATAATAATAGAGATATTGTAATATTCTCACTGAACATCCATAGCACCCTAACAGTGAAATGACTTTAAAGAACTTGAGGACTTGGGAGGGGGGGTTTAAATTCACAACAAAAGTGTATGCTTAGACTAAAATGTCTGAAACTTGTACAGTTGTAATAAAATTTTGATATGAAGAATTTTCTGTTATTGGATTCCAGGATTTTAATGAATGTCTTTTTTAACATACACCTAATGATATGTATGCATTGTTCTGCATACTAGCTAGTTCCTGTTATTATGAATTGCTCTGCATAAGAGTTGGTCTCTGTTATACGTACTCTCTCCAAAAAATCATTATTGACAAACATTTCTAAGGTTTCCAAATTATCATTTCTGTCCTTTACTGTTCCCTGTGTTCTAAATTCACATGCAAAATTTTTTTGTATAATTTTACATAACTTATCATTAAAATCTCTGTTACTACTACCACTCTTCACCTTTTCATTGTCGTTACCATACACAAATACGTATATCAGTTAGCGTATATTCATCCACAATCTTGACTGCTATATCTGAATCGAATAAAGCTGGTTTTGAATCACTGTTTACCTAAACTTCAATGAAGTTGGTGCCATCATAGCACAGCTTATCTGCAAACGAATAACATCCCTGATCTTCAACCCATGAATAAACTATGTATGATGTAGCTTAGTCTCAGAGAAAACCTTGCATTCAGTATAAGAAAGCTAGTAATTCTTTCTTGGCACAAATAGAAGGCATTAGGCCACTGCTATGATGATGAAGCAATCACTGTTAAACCTTTATAAGCACATTTGTGAGTACCATACAGAACATAACCTCTTGACATATACACTTTTACAATATTCCTTTAAATTGGCTGTAAGCATCACCATTATGCGGACAGAAAAACGATTAGTCACTGTTTCAACATTACATGGCCCAGGTTCTGTTCAGTTGCAGGAGTCTCTACAAGTTGCACATGAATGAAATGGAACTTTTTAATAGAAAATACTGGATCACACTTATGGTTTTCTTGTGTTTGATATATAAAAAAGCTGAACTTATGCAGAGCTCAGCATAAGGTTTCCACAGTTTGAATTTTACAGAAACATTCAAGAAGAAATTGAATTAGCACTTTCTACCCACTGTTGGTACTACTACTATCATATAAGATTTGAGGTTTTTACGGCGGTGACTATGAAGAAAGCAGTCTTCTGGGATGTGGCACCGTGTAGATGTGGTGTTAATGGACGTTTTGGAGGAACGTATCGCCTACTACAACCCTGAAGATGGAGGCGATACGTTCCTCCGAAACGTCGGTTAACACCACATCTACATGGTGCCACATCCCAGAAGACTTCTTTCTTCTTACTACTATCATGTTTGGCTTACCAAACACCAGCAGTTACAGTCTTGCCATTCTGATGTTTGAAAATTCATGGAAAGAGAAATTATGTCAGCATCAACTTCTTAATGCCTCCAAGCTTGTTGTCAGTATTTTTTATTCATTGGTCACAATTATGTTTTGCCATATCCAAGCAATTGTTCCATTAGCTGTGCCACAGCTGTATTGGTTTCTTGACTTGCAGGTAGCTTGTTAGTTTGTTAGACTTGAAACTTACACAGCATCTTTAAATTGACACAGATGATTGCCTAAGAGATTTTATCAACCTGTTAGTTATTGCTGAAATCAGGGCCGAGACACAAAGGACTGACCTGTTTTATAGCCTAAGAACCAATTGTTACATGTGCAGAGACCCAAAATAAGCTCTTAGTATTCATTGATGTAATCAAAGCAAGCTTGGTATTATCAAAGCATGAGATCAGGTTGTTGTTCGCAGCCAAAGTATGTTCCAGGACACATGATAACATCAATTATAAATGTGTCAGATTTGGGAGGAGACAAAGAAATTGCCAGTAGGGAGATATGTACAGAAAATTAGTAGGTAATTTCACATGTTAAGTTATGGGACAACCATGTGGTGCGTTAGATATTAAGGACTTTCTGCTTTTCGTTTTGTGCATTGAAGCCTGCCTGTAAGTTTATCATGTGTTATAACTGCCAGCATAACATATAAAGTGGGAATATCTTCAATGAAGACAATGGATGTTCGTATATATCTCACTTACATAATGTAAGCATAAATTGGGCTACATGTTTTGACCTATAATTTAGTTCATCATCAGGCACCTCTTTGTGATCTGTAACTCAAATGATTAAAGTTAAGGGTCATCTATTCTCAAAGGGACTATTTCCACATCCTAGGTTTGTTATCTATATGGATATATGGAAAAGAAAGGAAATGAATGAATGAATGAATGAATGTATGAATGTAGATCCATTGTCCTCATTGATGATATTCCCACTGTATTTGTTGTGTTGACAGTTATAACATATGTTAAATCTTATATATACAACAGAATGCAATCTATAAAGTCTACTTGTAAGTGTTATTAAATTTAAAAGCTAGCAGCTGGGCAATTTTTACCATATTCCTAGTACTAAGCCAAGCACTTAAGGTGAACACTTTGCATGATTTAGTTTCTTGAGTCTGATGTCTAATTTGTCTCTATAACAGGCCGAGAAGAAGAAATGTGAGAGAATGAAAGTTTCTCATGAAAAAGAGCTGAAAAATCGGGAAGAAGAGCTCTCAAGTTTACGCAGTAAATTGCGATCGCTAGAAGGAAACAGCGGTTCTAACAGCAAGAAAGTTACAGAAATAAAAGAGGAATATCAGTCTCAGATTGATAGTAAGTAAGAATTAAAATAGGAATATAAATAAGTCCCGTAGTGGTAGCAAGAGTTAAACAAGGAATATCAGTTTTTCATATTGTTACAAGCCAACATAACATTTGTCAGTGAAGGAGTAGATGGTGAAAGGTAATGTGAAATAATGCTGTAAATATGTTGGATATTGTATGTTTGGTTACTTTGTTATTCACAAATTTTGGGGGCAGGGGGTTTGCTTCTGTCTTCTGGCACTTCATTATAGTCGTATGACATATTTTTATTAGTTTAGCTTTAAGTGTTATTATCAACGGTTGAAATTGAGTTTCAGATATTTTCAGTACTAAACTTGTCAGGCTAGCCCAGTTGTTCAGTGGTTTCCCATACTCATTGTTACTTATGTCAGAATCAACTTCTGGATTTGTAATTTAAACTCAGATCTACTTTGTTGGTTCATGTTTATGATTAAATCTGTTATTAGAGAAGTTTATTTACAAGTAGAACAAAGTTATGAAATTGCCTTTCTGATGCAGTTGGATCTTCACTCCTGTATCTCCTTCACTACAACTGCTGTCTATATTGGATTACACAGAAGTCACTGGTAGTTAGAAATACGTACAAATTTAAATCTGCAGTATGTTTTAACATAGATTGTAATTAATGTTACAGAATTAGAAGAGGCACTAGCAACGGAGAGACATGAATATGAAGACCTTACAGCAAAGTATGAGATTTTGGAGGAGGAACATGTAGTCACCAAGGCACAACTAGTTATGGATAAGGAGGCAGTACAAACGTAAGTGTATAGATTGGAAGCTACGCTTCATGTTGAAAGTTGAGCTGCTTATTGGATTTGAGGTTCTCACAGTGGTGACTACAAACAGTAGTTCAGCAGAAGTTCTGTGATATTTTGGAGGAACATACTGCATCCATGTTCAGGCTCAAACACACTTCCTTGATTATAAAAGGTTAATCAACTTCATCCAGTGTGACTGATAGACTGTGTATTGTTATCCTCTTCACCAAACGATGGAACCACGAGGTGGTAGACACTCAACTTCCTTTAAAGAGAGGCAATATAAAGGCCATGAAAAAACTGGTTCTAAAATTTTTACAGAATCTTTGTAAACCCCACTTGTAAACAGATTAATTGTAATAATTTATAAATATTTTAATGTATTCATGCACATTGCTGTAGTTGATAAAAGATAAAATTTTATATTCATGGCATTGTGATGATATTGTATGTATGTATTGATATTGACCAATCACATTGTAATATTAGTTTCTGCCTGTATTGATATATCCTTCTGAAGATGGTCTCTAAGACCGAAACATGTCAAGGGTGAAAGATTAAAAAGAAGGAAAGAGAAAGAAACATTTATTAATTACACTGGACGGAGTTGATTAACCTTTTATAATATTGATAGTGTGATGGATCAGGATGAACCAAATCACATTTCCTTGACTTAATCTTCAACCCTGAAGAGTATATAAGATCTAAATTTTGTAACGATGGTACATAGTATGAATATTATGTTTCTGGACATTATCCATCATCCTGTTTTTATCTAAAAAGACTATCTTCTTTATATTTCAAATCACAACGTTTTGGAGACTGTTCTATCTCATCTTCAGGTAAAATCTACTCATTTGGGCCAAATTGATAGAGCTAGTCCCTATCTTCAGAGATAGGTACTAGCTCTATCAATTACCTCAAGACAGAGACAGAATCCAGTCTCCAAAACGTTGTGTTTTGAAATATGAAGAGGATGGTGTTTGTAGATAAATACAGGATGATGGATAATGTCCAGAAGCCTAATAGTTACCCTGAAAAGTATATTAATGAAGAAGCTACTGGACTACCTGACATGCCACCCCAGAAGAATGTACTTTTCAATCCTCTTATTGTCAAAGAGAAAGTATTCTTGCCACATTAATCATTTCAGTGCCATCATTTAAAGAATGGCGTGGTGCTTCCTTTTTTTAATTTGGAAACATTGAAACACTGGTTATTTTGAAAGAAATTTTGGTTGCTGGAAAAAAGAAGTGTCAGTTCTACTATGCATACACAGTATTGTACAATGATTGTCAACATACAGCCACTGGATCAGCAGTGTATCACCTGATTGATATTCATGTACAGCAATGTGACACACGTGTACAACAGAAGTCAGGTCATCAATGTAATGTGAAATCATGTTTACAGAGTTTGAACAATGCTTCTGGATTAGAGTTTATATTGCATGAGAATGAAATGTGAACAAATATTCCTGGCAAACTGAATTTTCAGTGAGTCAGGATAGGTTTGTCACTAAAGTTACTGGCTATGATCTAGGTCATTTGGGATTTATATCTGGCAGAAACTGAAATTTTACTTTCTGCCACGAAGTCCAGACCAGCCTGGGGATCCACTCACACATCAACCAATGGACCAATGGGGTTCATTCACCAGGAATGTGAAGATGACCACTAAACTCCATCTAGTGCTGAGGTTAGGAATGTGGAGCACTTTCTACTCTCCCTATATAATTTCAGGATTTGGGGCTTAGGCACAGGAACAACTTCCTTGTACTAAATTAAATATATAAACTTGACACATTTCATTGCTCTGCTGTCCCAAGTTAATTAATTTACCATTTGGAACAGACAGCTATTGACAACCAAAAGGGAACTGGTGGTTGCAGAGAATGAGCTAAGGACACTGCAAGACACATATAGTGAGAAGCAGGATATGTGGATTAAGGAGAAGCTTGACCTCCAGGTCAGTATTGTCTGTTTTTAAACTTATTTGCATATTTTATAAGGAAAGGCCATCCTGTGGCATTAACATGGCCATGCCCTGGTATCTGTCCTCCCAGATTGGGGTTAATCCATTTTCATCCTAATTTATATGTTTTATAAGGAAAGACAGGCTTGTGGTAACAGCATGTCTGTATCATGGCCTTGTATCTTACATCCCCATAATAACTTTTGAACCATTTGATGCATTTACATAAAACTTAATTATGACTCTGTCCTTTGTATTATATGTTTAGTTTCAGTACAGTTATTCACACCAACTTCATGGTCATGCAGACTTCCAAGGTGGAAGCTGCAGTAGTCTGATATGAGATCTTGAAATCTGTTATAATAATAGATCTTCAAAAAATATGGCAGGATATTTCTCTAGAATGAAAGACAACATAGCAACCATGTGAAATCTGTATACAGGTTGGAAAGAAATTTGTGCACAAAGCTACATATTGTGATTTCTCATTAAAAAAAAGGAAAACAAAAGAAAAACAAGTATAAATGTTATACAGTGTGTGTCCTGAGATGCTTATTTTTTTAAATACATGTCACCACCAATTGGAATAATATACTTCTTAGTAGTCTTTATTCTTCATGGCAATACATAGTTCACTGTGAGTTGTACTTGTATTCAAGTCACAGAGTGGTAAACTAATCATGGAATACACACATGACAAATACTGTGACATGCTCATAACCCTTGGTACTTCTAATAGCCGAGCTAGTACTGTTGCATGGGAAAATTTGCTGTGTTATCGTAGTTGCCATCATCCAGATGCTGATGTGTTTTAACAACTGGAACAGTGACTCCATGAGACAGAAATGATAATACCTATGGCACACAGACTGCGCAGAAATTAGCCAGTGAAGACGCCATAATTATACCTGTGGAACAAGAGCCATGGAGAAGCTTGTAATATCACATGAGAGTCGCACTGTCTCAATTGAGGGTCCATGAAGTACTTCTGTCAATCAGTTGCAGCCACATTACTTACAGAGTGCACTTCTCTTGCCAGTTGAATGTTCTCTCTGGCTCTCATACTTAAATGGCTATGACATCAACACAATGCAAGCAGATGAGCCCTTTTTAGATAAAATTCTATGGGCAGACGAAGCATCTTTTATCATTTTCAACATCCACAACAGACCTCTGAGCATGGAATAATCCTCATGCTCTCCACAAACATGGGTATCAAGTTCGCTTCTGCTTCATCATCAGTGTTTGAGCTGGTATCATTAGGGATGTTGTTATGGACCCATATCTGCTACCTACCAGATTGACTGCTCAACAATATCACAGTTTTCTGGAAACTGTTCCACTAGGCCTGCTTAAAGATGTGCTTCTGACTGTGAGGCACAGGTGGTTTCAGCAGGATGGAGCTCCATGCACTATGGGGAAGATGTCTGGCAATGGCTGAAAATTACATGTCCTGGAAAATGGATTGGTCGTTGGGGGCCATTGTATGTTGTCAGATCTAGCCTTCATGGGCTTTTTCCTGTGGGCAGACCTGAAATTAGCATTGTTATGACATGACTTCAAGTAGCTATGACAGCAGTCGATGCCAACATGTTAAAGTGCCTTCAAGAGAATGTTTTCATCACACTGCTGTCCGCCTTGAAATGGATGGAGGCCACTTCAGACACTTATTGTAACTGTGAGGAAACCATAGTTTGATCATATTGTAGCATATTTACTCAAAGCAAGAACTGTGAAGCCGGCAGATACAGCCATTGCTAGGGAACGATTCTGGAAACATGCCATTTGCCAGGCAGCAACTTTGTAAGCATGCAACAATACCACAGCCATCTCTAAGCAATGTGCCTATGGAACAATGGAGGAACTATACAATTCTCTTCTAAGTCCAGTCACTGGACGGTGTTAATTAACCTTTATAATTTTCCTAGTGTGATGGACCAGGATGAACCGAATCAAACACTGTGTAGAACTTATGGATGAATTTTGTTTCATCTGTATGGCTTTCTATTGGCTAGTGATAGCTAATGAACCACTGGGGGTAAGGGTGTGAGATTCTTGGCCACAAGCTGGAAAGCCAGGCTTAAACTCCCAGTATTTGTGACATTTCTCTCTTTACTGCCACATCCAAATTAAGGCTGAGGTCTGCTGCGTCTTCTGCTGAGGGTACTGGAGCTGTTACCCTATAGGTAAAGTAGTTAGTGTGAAGATAAGCACAATGGATCACTGTAGGTCGGGGAGAGGGTCGAGAAGGTCCACCCCTTATACATTCATTAGTGTGAAGATGGCCACTTTCCTCCATCTAGTGCAAACACCTACAGAACCAGCTGATGAAATAATATGCCTTTATAGTATGATACATAGGTTGAGCTATAAAAACAACCATGTTATTTTAATTTAACAGCATTGTGTATTTTATGGAACTTAGTTTGCTGATTGACAGTCATTTATTTCTGACCTTGGTAACATTATAGGAGAAGTTGAAAGAGCTAGAAGAGAAAGTGTTGCGAAGCAATAGCAGTGACAGTTGGGTTCTTGAGAGAACTCGGCTGAAATCTGTGCTGGAAGATAAATGTTTGGAAGTGGAACAGCTGAAGAAGGAAACTGATATGAATGCAGACCAGATGGAACACTTGAGGAAGGAGGTAAATATATATATATATGTTTTCAGACTTTAATAAGTGCTTTGGTGTGAAAACACCACATTGTTGTGAATTGTTTTCTCAGTGTTCAGAAATTGACCTCTCTTCTTCTTCTTCATGGTAAACTAACTAAGAGCATATAGTTGTTTTCTGAGGCTTGTGTATTTCAGATTTCAGTGGCAGTAAAAATTCAGGTCATTCTCAGAGAGTTCTCTTTTCTGTATGTAGTCTGAGAGGTGGTTACCAATATATCAGAGGAATGTACTGCCCCTGTCATCTGAGTTGTTGTCCTTCTCTGGTCCTCCAGTTCTTCTGTACTTACCCTTCCAGCAACATCTGTTATAGAATCATTACTCTAATCAGGAGTTATGGTTTTCATTGGCCCACTTGCAGTTATGTCTCCTTGTTCCCATTCCTGAATCTGATTGGCCCTCCTGTTCTTGATGTCCCATTACCCCCACTCCTGCTGATTGATGTGCCTTTTTCACTACTTGGTTTATTTCTGCCATGAAGATGGAGACAGTATCTACCTTTAAAACATTGCTAACTACCTTCCAGGCTACATGATGTCATACCCAGAAATCTACCCTATGCTCTATGAATGTTGACACTTCTGATTTTGTTATGAGCGATGACACTGTTTAGAAATCATTTGTCAATATTTCAGGAATTTAGTTGTCTCCGTCTTCAGGTTCAAGAAACCAATAGCATACCCATGGGAGTGATATGAACCAAAATCAAAATTACACAGCAACGTAAGGATAGATTCCAAATTTAATCTGATCTGGTCATTATTTTCTTAGAAGAAACAGGCTGACAGCAGATGGAAGAACATGACCTACTCTGTATGCGTACAGTCTGTGCATAAAAATAGGACAAATTGTATATAGCTTATCATATTCCATCAGTTAATATGCGGTCATGTGGGACTGGATTTCCGTATCATTTGTGTGTGTGGTCTGTTCCCATCAGATTTTCTATTGAAATCTTTTTCAGCATTTCTTATTTTCTCTATGCTTGTTATATTCCCATTTATTTCATCCATCTTGAGATACCTTATTATATAGTTCTTGCCTTTTCCTTCTTTGTTTCTATTTTTTTTTTGGTCCAGACATTTTTCTTAAACCTAAGACATTATTAATATTCAGGGATATTTTGAAATATTTTATTTTTTTGTAGAATGATGAGTTACGCAAAAAGTTGGAGGACTTTGACAAGGTGGTGAAGGTCCATCGAAATATGTCAGCTGACACCTCTGCCATAGAAAAGGAGCTGCAGGCTACAAAGAACAAGTGAGACTCTGAAGTTTAATAACTTTTTAACAGAAGAGTTTCAATGAGCAGTTCAGTTTAAAATTTTAAAGACCGTTTAACATTGTACAACAAAAAGATAGGTGTAAATTAGTATCAAGATGCTCAAATTTGTATACACAATATTTCCTTGCAGTATTGACATATGAATTCTGGGGATTTTACCAGAATAATTTACCTTAGTCAGTACAATGACCAGGAATCGATATTAGATTTCCAGGAAGGGAAGACTTTTTTTCTTCTCCTCAGCCTCCAGACTGGCCCAGGGGTAAAGTGGCCAGGAAAGGGAGCTGGCTGCTCACCTCCATCTAGACTCAAAGTTAAGAATGCATCGAGCTGTACCAGCATTCTCCATATATTTTTATGGCTTGGTGCTCAGTTAAGCATGGGGAAATTTCACTTTCTCACGTAATATATATATAAAAGGTGTAAAGTGATGGCGAGAAAAAAAAATATTGAAATTTTGATGGACGTACACGTTTTATTCAACTTTGAATACCAAAAGTGGTTTTTCGTTTGATGTCTGTCTCTCTGTATATATGTACCCATGTATTATGTATGTACCAGTGTTCAAGAGTTTATTCACAAATACATCAGTGCTCAGTAAATATGAACATTCCAACTCCAAAAACTGGTTTTTCAAATTGGCCCCAAAGCACAAAATGCAATTTTCTTTAAATAGGCTGTAATGATTTTGCTTAAATTTCGATAATTTATGCAGACTGTCTTCATAAATAGAACTGCATAAGTGATATGTTTGTAAAATAACAGTATGGACACTAAGGACCCAAATGTGATATGCCAGTTGTGCCGAAACCAGCACTACCAATCTTCATTGTTCAGTATTCAACAGCCAACAATAGTCTACTAAGCAGCAATGAGTCTTCTTTCCAGAGTAGTCCAGTCAAGGTAAATTGTGTGTTAGAAAGTATGTGCAGTGTCTCTGCACCAACTTACAGTGTATGTTTTTGTGACATCAGAAATAATTCTCAGTCTGAAGTATCTTTCTTAAGGTAATAGGTATTTGAACATCTAATTGATTAATTCATATATTATTTAAGTTTGCTGTTTAAACTGGAAAATCCGTAGATAATTAAATAAAACTGGAAAAGGATCATGAAGAGTGAGTAGTTAACATTCTATGGCCTCTTTCAAGATCATCATCATCATTGGCAATACAGCCCTTTTTGAGCCGTAGCTTTCCATATAAGATTCTGCCAGATGGCATCTGCTTTTCACTTCTTTGGATTTTGTGACAAATATTTTTTACGAAGCAAGGTCGTCATCCTTGCATCCAACCCCAAACCTGGAGGACCAGATCCCTGAATTTATGTCCCCCAGTGACAGGGTGGCCCAGTTCTACCCAAGAGCACTGGGTTCCTTTTCTGTCACCTTCTACGGCTCACAGGGCCATGATGGAGGTGTTGTAACCCACCTCCACATGTTGAAAACCCTGGTTCTCTTAGATTCTAAAGGGTTTTGACGATGGTGGATGACACACAGTGATTGAGATTAGCTTTTTTCAAAGGGACCCAACTGAGTAGGTGTCATCCTTCCTCACCTGAAGAAGGAAACAGATCCAGTTTCTGAAATGTCATGTCTTCTATTACCTAGAATTCTGGGAGATGGAAAAGTCCAAAACCCAGTAATTCTGTATGACACTGGTTCTCGTTTTCTTTCAAGATACTGTTCTGAAATTTGCTTCAAGGGACTAAGGAAACACCACAGAAAGCTTCAGTCATATTAAGTAGTAACTCAGTTGTGACTGAAACCAAATGTTTACTCAGTTACATATGTACAATTTGCAAACTCAGCCACAAAATTACAAATATAATTACCATTAATAATGCTATATGTTTTGTATGTTTGTAGACTTTATGAAGAGGAAAGAGCCCACAAGGCAGACATGGCACAACTGAAGTTGCGATATGATAGCCGAGTTGCAGTCATTAGTGAAGAAATCCAGGGCCTGCAGGGACAGGTTTGTCGGTTCAAAAGAGAGCGTGACACTTTCAGACATATGTTGGAGGGTGCCCAGAGGACTATTGCTGACTTAAAGGCATCCTCGGGCAGAGAGTCACGGAGTTCAGGCAGCAATGTTGATGAGGTAAAACTCACAATCTTAAATTTTAAGGTCTTTGATGAATTTAGGGCTTTTTATGCCTCCACACAACATGTTGAGTCTGTTGTATATAATAAGCAATTTAATTGAATATATAATTAGAGCAGTGCATTTATTATGCCGAATACTGCATGTTTTGGTCATAGTTGACCATAATCAAGTGTATACATATATGATCATAAATATATTGTGATTTATTGCGGAATATGTAATCAAAATTGATCCAGTTTATTTAAAGTTTTTAAAGAATGTGTTAAAAGTATGACAATTATAAAATTGTAAAACATGTGAATATATAGTGTTACATGTAGGCATTTGTAGGAAACAAATTGGCAAATACGTTACTGCAGAGATATGATTTTTGAACAGACTATCCCTGGGTGTTGGACAAAGGTTTCCATTGATATGAAAACTGAAAGTTGTAAACTGTTGGATACCAGAGTGTTGCTCTGAAATTAACACATGTTGCTATGGAAAAGTGGATTCCTGGAGAGATCGACTTGGAATGTGTACTCAACTATACAAAGCATATGGATAGTGTAGATTGCACTGGTCATTAGTGCATAACATGCTTTCATTCATAAACCTCTGAAGTGGTGGAGAAAACCTTCTCTGGTGCCTGGAAGTATGCATTGTAAATTCATACATTTTGTACAGCCTCTATAAGGCACACATGGGAGTAAAACTAGTGTCACATGTCAAGTATCGACGAGCTCTTGTTGAAATTCTAGTAGGTGATGTGCATGTGTGCAACCCAAGAAAGCGGTCACATCCGGGGTCAACTGAGAGAGAAGAGAGACCAAATATGGCATCTAACTTCCTCTACCTCTATGAAAAGAAGAAACACAAAGGACTGCATTGTGTGCAGCAATGAGAAGGCCGTGGAGACAGAAAAGAAACATACTTCTATTGTAAGACCTGTATAAATCAACCAGCCATGTATCCTGATGGATGTTTCAAAAGAAATCACACTCTCAAGAACTTCAAAATTTTTAATATAGGTCTCCATAGTTTATCGAGTTTTTGCAGTCTGTGTACATAGAAGAGTGAGAGTTATAAGACAAAAGGAATATGTGTATATTTTATACGAGAACAGCAGACAATTTGAACCAGTTAAACACTACTACCTCTCTTCACACTTGATGTCATACACCACTACAAGGCAGAGAATTTGTCTTCTTGCATTGTGCTGGTAAGTAAAAATATTTCTTTTTCGCTTTATGCCCTTGTTGTACCAACTTCTTGAGCAAAGCAACTCGCTTAGTGGCTCTGCGGGCATTTAAAGTCCCTTGACGACTTGGCTGCAGAAATTTCTCCAAACGCAACGACCGGAAAGGGTTAAAGCTAAAGAATTATGCTTTTGAAGCCTAAAGTGTGCCACACCAGTCATGAATGCTTTATATATATATATTGTAACGTGTTTCGTTACTGAATACGCCGTAGAGATTGTTAATTGGTTTATTTAACAACCTACAAATCACGGCTACAATTAATTATAACAATATTGTGGGGTTTCACAATTTATAACCCTATTCGCAAATCAAATCACGCTATTGTCAGTAGACTACACGTTTCACAGTACGGGAGCTATACAAATGTCACTGTGTTACACACTCCAAAT